TTTATAGTTTATATTGCATTTATTAAAAAGTGAAGATAAGTTGAAAATCAATGATCTTAGTATCCAACCCAGTAAGTCAGATAAATAGTGAATTAAACTCAAAGAAAGTAGTAGAAAGATAACAATAAAGTTATAATGGTTAATTTTATGTGTCAACTTGACTGGACCTTCAGGTGACCAAATATTTGGTCAAACATCATTCTAAAGGTTTAGGTGAGGATGTTTTGGTTGAGATGAATATTTAAATCTGTAGACTGAGTAAAGCAGATTGCCATTCCTAATGCGGGTGGGTCTCATCAATCAGCTGAAGGCCTGAATAGAACAAAAAGGCTAACCCTCTTTGAAGTAAGAGAGAATTCTTCCTGCCTGACTGCTTTTGAACTGAAACATCAGCTTTTTTCTGCCTTTGGACTCTAACTGAAACATCGGTTCTTCCTGGTTCTTGAGCCTGCTGACCTTCAGACTGGAACTATACCATTGGTTCTCCTGGTTCTCAGGTCTTCAGACTCAGACTGGAACACCATCAGCTCTCCTGGATCTCCTGCTTGCCAACTCACCCTGCAGATCTTGGAACTTGTCAGCCTTCATAATCACGTGAGCCAATTCCTCATAATAAATATGTTTCTCTATACATAGAAAAACATCTATTGGTTCTAGTTTTTCAGAGAACCCTAATTCAAAACATGAGAGCAGAAATTAAAAGAATAGAAAACAAAAAATTTAGTACATTAGCAAAAGCAATTCTTTGAAAATACTAACAAAATTGATGTATCTCTGGCAAATCTGATCAAGAATGAAAGAGAAGGCACAAAAAAATCACAATAAAGTTAAGCTCCCCCTAGGAGTACAGTTTAACTTTTCAGAGTCAGTCAATGCAATTCACAGAAATAAGGAGAAAAATATATGGTAATAAAAATAGATAATAAGAAGCATTTAATAAAATTTACCTTCTCTTCATTATAAAAATCTCTTGGTACACTAGGAAAAGAAAGGAATTTCATTAATATGAACTTTGTTAATTTTCCCAAAGCTATGAAAACATCTTCCTTAATGATGCATTAATATAAGTTTTCCTCCTGAAATGAGAAATGAGACAAAGATGGCTATGATGTATCTCTTTATTTTAACATTGTACAGCTATTCACAATATTGATCATTAGATGAGAAGGAATTGGAACTCATAGACATTTAGTGAAAATGAAAACATGCAGTGGTTGGTATAACCACTTTGGAAAACTGCTTGGCAGTATCAAAGTTAAACATACTAATATCCTATGGATCAATATACATTTAACAGAAATGCATATAGGTATTTACCAAAAGATATGTACAAGGTTGTTCATGGTAGTATTATTACATCAACTGTAAAATGAATAAATTAATTTGTGGTAGTGCCATAGCCAAACAATGAAATGCTATTTTAATAATGAAATTAAATTAATTAATAATACAAATATAATAGAAATAGAAGCAAGAAAGAGAGCAATATGTATTGCATAATTCTACCTGTCTAATTCAAAACAGGTAACAGTAGCCTACAGTGGTAGAAGCCAGGATAGTGGTTATTTTTAGAGAGGAGAGTGGGAATATTAACTAGGTAAGAGTATGAAATAGGCTTCTGAATGGCTTGTGTTTTTTTTTCTTGTATTACTTGTCCTTCTATTGTATTTTTTAATGTGGATTGTAGTTTCATGGGTATGTTTACTTCATCAGAATTCATTAAATATACATCTATAATCTCTGTACATCATATATATTTCAACAAAAATATTTATCTTAAAATTAAACACCTATTCCTAATAAAAGAAATTTATAACATATAAATCAATGTATACTTCTTTAAATCTCTCTCTCTCTCTCTTTCTATGCCCTCACCCTCCCTCCCCAGAATTCAGGATCTTATTTAATGGGGAAATACTAGAGGCATAGCCACTAAAGTCAGGAAGAAGGCAAGGGTGCTCAACCTCTCCACTATTTTTAATACGCTAGGATGATTTTTAGCAAAGCAGTTAGACAAATACAAACAATTAGAGACATAAAAATTGGAAAAAATAAAGTAGTCTCTATTTTAGATTATATGATAATATATCTGGAACGGCAAAGAGAATCAACCTTAAAATGAATACAAACAAAAGAATTTAGAAGGGTGTATACTAAAATCTAGTTATAGAAATGATACCCGATTAGAAAAGGTAATGAAGAGAAGAACCCACATAAAATAGCAGTAAGAAAGTTAAAATAACTAGGTATAAAATTAGCAAGAAAATCAGTATGTGGAAGACTTTCAAACTTCCTAATAATGTAAAAGTATACTTGAATAAATAAAAGGTGGTATCCTTTGCTCTTGAATAAGGTGGCTCATTATTTTTTCTTCTACTTTCTGAGATTTACTTTTTTCTTTACTTTTCAAAGTCAAATGCTTATGTAATTAAAACATTTTCAGTTTTTCTTCTCTACATACATATTTACAAAACCATAAAACTTCCTCTTAAGATATATCTGTGTCTTATGAGGCATTTTTGTTCAGTTCTGTTTTATACATTTCATTATGATTTCTTCTTTGCTAATTAATTATCTACAGATATATCTTTTAGTTTTCAAAATATTTTTGTCATGACTTCTAATTTTATTTTACTGTGGTTAGAATATAATATCTACAATTTTGATTTTTTGGTATTTAACAATTAATTTGTTATTCACCAAATACCTATTTTTTTCAGACACTAGTGTAGGTTCTAATGATGTCATGGTGAAGAAGTAACCCTACTTCTTTGCCTTTATGGTACTTACTTCTATTGTGATATACATTTTCTCTTTAAAAAATATGTATATATAATTTGTGGTTTGGGCATTGTTCCTGTTTTGGTGTGGTCAAATATTATTGCAGAGTGCTCTTATTTTTGTCTTGGTTCCTCATGGTCACAGAGTGGCCTTGTCTAATGTCTCCTGGATGTCAGGGGGGTTCCTTTTCTCTTTTCTAATTCTCTAACTGATTCTAGTATCATGTTTTCTAAATCATAATCTTGTATACTTATCTCAACAATTTATGGTGTTTTTGAGGTTCAGTCTGTTATATTTTGTGATTTACTGGGGCTATTGCTAGCAATGTTTTATAAGCAAAGCAACTTTTATCTTTCAGATATTTACTTTAAGAAAATGTAATAGTGTTTTAGGATATTATTTTATTAAATCTTGGGGCTCAAATTTAGAAAGATTATATTATTCATTTTATTGCTTAAGTTATATTTTCCAAACTTTTTAGGCTAATGAATCTCCTTGCCAATATCTCCTTGCCAAGAGTCTCATACACTCAATAAAATTGGTTTTACTGGCTGGGCACGGTGGCTCATGCCTATACTCCCAGCACTTTGGGTGGCCAAGAGGGGCAGATCACCTGAGGCCAGGAGTTCAAAACCAGCCTGGCCAACATGGTGAAACCCCCATCTCTACTAAAAATACAAAAATTAGCCAGGTGTGGTGGCAGATGCCTGTAATCTCAGCTATTCAGGAGGCTGAGGCACAGAATCTCTTGAACCCAGGAGGTGGAGGTTGCAGTGAGCAAAGATCATGCCACTGCACTCCAGCCTGGGCAACAGAGTAAGACTCTGTCCTCTGTCTCAAAAAAAAAAAGAAGAAGAAGAAGAAGAAGAAAGAAAAGAAATTGGTTTCATTGTTCATCATGTTCTCTTGTATGTAAAAAAAATCAATTTGAAGTTAAAACATATCTTAGTACAGTCACATCTATTTTATTTTAAGAAATATTACTCAGGTATGTATTTAGTTTTGACATTTTCACTTTGCAAGTCATATATGCCATTTACTTCAAGTTAACATGTAAAAAACTCCATTTTTTGTCAAATTGATTTTAACATTTTTGTGTGTGTGATTTAATAACCAAGCATTTTTGTTATAGCTTCAAAAATAAATGTATATTGCTTTAATGAACTGATATTTGAAAACATTTGTGTTTTTACTGCGAAAACTACTAGCTGGTTTATTTTTGTTATTTTTTGTGTCTCATTGTAAGATGTTGAGATAAGTGATAAGGTCTCAGGATGCTCTGCAGGCTGAGGTTATCACCACCACTATATTTTCTTTCCTTACCAATGGTTTTTTGAAGTTATTAATACATCTTTATGCAGTGTATAAGAATTTTCATCAAAGGAATACTATTAATGTATTTCAAGAAAATCATCTTAAGGCAAATCTGTCAGAAATATATCATTATTTTAACATTGGCTATTTTTATCTTTCCTCTTATTTTTTTTTCCCTAACCAATGATAGGTTAAATTTACTGTCATTGGTAACAAAAAAATAGGAAGGATACAAATAATAATTGAGAATCATTTCACAGCAAAAGTTATCAGTATGGCTAGCACTGTTTAGCTTAATGACTGAGTCTTAAAGATGATCATATTATAATCATGATGTGTTCTCAAATTCTTCTGTTTTAAAGAAATAATATTTTATTAATCATCTTATTTATTGATTTAAAAATAAATATTAACCTTTTTAATGATGTGAATCTCTAGAATACCTTTATAATCTTCAGAGGGTTCATAAAACATCAGTTTAAAATATTGAATTCAGTCAAAGAGAAAATATGATTTGATAGAAGAAATTTGAAGCCACATTTCTCAAGTGCATAGGACTTAATCTTATCCCATTTCATGTTTTATTTCATCTTCATTTTCTATCTCATTTTTCTTTTCTTCCAATTTTCATACTTATTTTATATCATGTCATATATATTTATGTTCTTCCTCACTTCCTCTTTGAAATTAGGTGGAGGTTATTGGTAAGTGTTCATATTGAAGCAGAGTCTGTGTGCCATTTTTTTTTTAATGTAGAAAACCTATATTCAAGTTCTAGAAAAATTGGTATTCTAAATAAGGTTGTGGTATGTGGTATGATTTTACTTTATTAACATTAAACTTTATTTGAAGCAAGTTAAAATTAATGTTAGAATTAAGAAAATGATTGTTCTAATGTTTTCCAGCTGCTAATAGGTTATGAAAATGGTACTGTAGTATTCTGGGACTTGAAATCTAAAAGAGCAGAACTGAGAGTTTATTATGATGAGGTAAGTGATTTCCACCGAAATGTTTGAAAGAGTATTGTGATGTTATGCCTGTTTACTGCTTTTAAGCTTTGTACTTTACCAATATGTTTAGCCTTGGGAAGTTGCCTGATTCTGACCCAATGCTTCACACTGTCTTTTGGTATTTGTGTAAGTTCCATCTCTGGTTTTTCTCTTAAGAGGAAATTCTGCCCTGACTGCCTATTTTGGGGCCCTCTTGTGGCATCTTATATACTTTGCATTTGTTAATAGGTCCTGGCTTGTACTCTTACACACTTGGGTGCCTGTCACCTGTAGTATATCCCCAACTTTGTCTCAACTGCTTTTCCTTTCTCTAGGCTCCATGCTACGTTGTGCCTCATTGTCCTTAAAGTCTCTAAAGACACTATTCACACCTTCCTTAGAAAATTCCTTTTCAGAGGCAAAAGGTTCAAGTCAGTTTGAAAGGTCTTGTCTTCTAATACTTGTCTTCTTAGAATAAAGAAAAATTTTGTAAATAGTAATACTTAATAAGTGACCAGATCTTAATAAGTGACACTTATTAAATGACAAGATCTTGAAGTAAGTTTTATTGTACATAATTGAGACTTGAGTAAGCTTGCATTTAGGGGAAGCAACAAACTCCTATTCATCAAGGAATAATCTCCCAGTTGACACTTCAGTTGTTCAGATCTTAATTCCAGGCCATTCATTATTTTTCCATTCAGGAGAGGCTAACAAGAAGATGGTAAAACTGAGAGCAACAGATTAAAAGGGAAATTACCTTTTGTGCCTGTGGAAACAAAGGTGATCATCTGTGCTATTAATTCAATTTGAAAATGGTGGGAGGAGGAAGAGATAGGAGGAAAATATAGGTCAAAAATTTACATCCAGTAAAACCTACTCTTATATAGGAAAAGTGCCAAATAATTTAAGGCAGCAATGAAATAATTGGAAAATGAAAACCACACACACGTTAATTTTAGAACACTTCCTCATTTTATCACTGGAGGGATAAAAAAAGTCTCCAAATGAACCTGTAGTCACCGTAGAATACTTTACATGTTCTCTTCCATCCCCCTCATAGCAGTTAATTGTTTAAGTTTTGGTGCTTAAAGATATAAGCCTTCACCTATTTCATAAACTGTACAATTCATTTTCAGTGATTCTCATAGTGGTAAAAAAAGTTTAGAAAGAAAATAAAATGGCAGCTGGATAATTTTTTCATGATTGGTGAAAAATAATCTGATAAGTAATATCATTCAGTTATGTTTTTTATAATCAAATTCTTGAGCATCTTGAATCATAAGAAAAGAAGGTCCTAGTGAGCTAAGCTAGGATTTTCCTTTTGTTATACAAATCATAAAGATGGGGATGGATAGTGCTCCCTCTCCTCCCTCTCTCAACACTAGCAGCTAAATAAGAATATGAACACCATGGGAATATTTAGTCAGTTGGAATTAGAATAACCAGTTCAAAACGAAACCCAGAGGAAAATGCTGAATCATCTAGCTTTCCTATGGCCTTAAACAGTGTGGAAGAAACGTTTTGAGCCTTAAAAAGAGAGTAAAATTGCAGTGAAATTTTAAAATAAGGATTAGCAGCTGCCTAAGTGAGTTAGTACAGTACCACAATATATGTAATTTATACCTAGAAGTTTTTGACATCTGATATATGTATATAAATCTATCATCTTTATCTACTGTAATGCATCATTATATGCTCTATTGTTTTAATAGAGATAGTTAAATACTTCATTTCACTACCAAACTTTTCAGCCTCTCCTCAGCACTTTACCTCTCATATCTAGAAAACATGCTTAATACTTACCTGAAATAGTTTTTTATAAGTCACCAATGAGCTCTTCATTACTATACACAGTGACCTCTTCTTAGCCTTTACATCCCTCACTAAACCTGTGGCTTTACCTCAGTTTCTCCTCCTTAAAATAATTTATTCACTTGACTGTGTCTTTCCACTTCATTTATCATACCTCCTTTCTCCATAACTGATTTTTCCCTTACCTCTCTTTACATTATTGATATTCTTCAGGATACTATGTCTTTACCCTCATTTCTTCTCTCCCCAATTTATACTTTCTAATGTTTATATTCTCTTTTATCATTTCAAATATTACCTTTATGCTAAAAAAAAAGAACATCCATATATCTGTAGCCTTTACCTCCCTCCTGAACTGTAGATCTAAATATATAACAATATATTAGATAAATCCAACGAAATATCCCATTGGCACTGAATTTGTATTTAAATATCTAAACCTCCTTCTATGTTTTCTTCTGGTTTTTAAGTTTTGTTTAGTTAATTCCGCCTAGACCCCTCAAAGTAATATTTGTCTCTTCCATCAACATGTAGTATATGCAATCAGTTTCTGCAGTCTTTCTGATTCTGACTTTATATTCTCTTTTATTTCCTCTTTTCTCATTCCCACTTCCAATGTCCTATTTCAAGTTGTTATCTTTTGCCTGGATGACTATAAGAGCATTTTAACTAATCACAACCACTTTTCCTTTGATATCTTACCTCTTCAATATATCCTTCATTAACAAGATTATCATTTTAAAACAGATTATGGAATTCTCTACAACAGAATCTTTGAATAGCTCTCAATTGTCAACAATACAAAGTCCATATTGCTTGACATGAGATTTAAGGTCCTAGTGCTATCATTCCTCTTCAGTTAAATTTACAGCATCCTTCTACACATTCCCCACATTTCAGACATATTACTCACTATCTTCTATATATAACATTTATTTCTTATCTCTGAGCCTTTGTTCCTTCTAACTTCTCATCATGAACTGCCTTCTTTCCTCTTCTGTATATCAAAATTCTGTTAGGTCTTTAGCCTCTGTAAAACTATTTAGACAATTTAACTAGCCTCTTCATAAATAGCCATTGATGAATTGAGTTTTGTTTTGGAAATCCAAGATTATTTTCAGAAACAAATATACGAATTTTACTTTCACATTAACTGTAAATTTTTTCTTTCATTACGTCAATAATTCTTAAGTAATCTTTCACAAAGAAATCCCTCAGAGTTTGGCCTGAGGAAAATTTTTTAATTTCTTAAGAACTGCTGTATTTCCTTTTTTCCATATTGTTATCCAGTTTTTTTGGATTTCCTTCTTTCGTGTTTTAAAGAAACTCAGTCTCAGCCACTGAGTTGATAAAACTAGCTAGTATTTTATGTTTAAAATTCTGTTTTCTATCTCTTAAAATTCTTTTTAGATTGGTTGTATTAATTTTGTTTTTTTCAGTAAGCCCTCTGAGCTCCCCTCCCTTTTTTTGAGAAAAGAGTAGGGTACAATCTAATAAATAGAAATTGAATGTTTATCCATTAAGTTAGATCAAATGCTAGCTACTCAGTAATGCACTACATGAAACCCTGATCTCTAATAACAAGTTGGTTTTACATGCTTGTTTTTCTAAACAATAAATATTCTTCTTTAATAGTACTGACTTACTTTGGCTTTATTGTAACTATTATTTTTATATCTGTCCTTTCCAGTAGACAGAAATTCAGTGAAATAAGAAGGTTTAGGGCTGAGAGTGCCTTTTCTGCCTCCACCTTTGATGGCAAAACAGTTTGAGACAACTTTAAGTTAAATGAGGCTCATCAAAGTTAACATGTAGGGGAGGCAATAAGATGTGACTTTCCCTTGAACCACCTACAGAAGGGAGAAGAAATAAGCAGAGGAGAAGAGAAAGAAGTATTTTTCCCTCTAACTTCCTCCGCTGGACTCTAGCAAAAAAGAAATCTCTGCTTAGTAATGAAGGCCACAGAGTGAGAGAAACTCTCACAAGTCCAGGGTTTCATGTTGCTTTTTCCATTTAATCAATCTTATTTTCTTGATGATATGTTTAATAATTACTTTAACCATCAGTTATCTGCAACTCTAATAATACTGATTGCTTAGAACTTTTATCAGTTATGTACGTATAACTTAGTTTGGAACTTTTAGTTGTATGTGTCTATGTGTGACGCTTCAAACAATAAATATTATTAGTATTCACTTATATTAATCTTCTCTCTCTTGCTATTTTATAAGTGTCTTTAAGGAAAAGATGTTGTATGCTTCTTTTCTGCCTTTATATCTACTATAATTTTTCTCATAGTACTTAGTACTTTACCCAAGTTCTGCATATACTTTATTAATTTAGAAAGAATACCAAAGGTGTGGAAATGTGTGTGACATTAATTACTAATTCAGTCAGAAGATATTTATTGAGTACTTACTTTATGCTGGTCGCTATGCTAGCATTGGGAATAGAATAGCTTGGGAAAAAGGAATACAGTCAGCCCTCTGTATCCATAAATTCCTTATCCTTGGATTCAACTAACTATAATGGAAAATATTTTAAAAACAAAAACAATTTTAAAACAATATAATAATTTATAATAATACAAATAAAAAGACAGTATAGTATAACTACTTACATATCATTTACATTCTATTAGTAATCTAGGGATGATTTAAAGTATATGCGAGGATATTCATAGGTTGTATGCAAATAGTATGCTGTTTTATATCAGGGACTTGTGCATCTGTGGATTTTAGAATCTGAGGGAGTGTGGGAGTTCTCTAACTAATCCCCAATGGTTACCGAGGGATGGCTGTAATTACTTTTGAATCTTATGTGACTCAAAACTGCAGAGTTAATCTGAAAATATAAAAGAAAATTTAGACCTTTCTTGCTTTAAATTGATTTAAATAGTATATGCAAGAGGGCAATACAGTGCAATGATTGACAGTTTTTTCATAGTTAGACCTTGGTTTTGAGTTTTGTGACTTCAGCAGGTATCTCAGTCTCTCAAGACCTGTTTCACCATGTGTAAATTGGAAAATCGATACCCTTTTTTTATAGGATTAAATAAGATAATGTGTATAAAATGCTTGCCATGGGGTTTGGCACATAGAAAGCCTTCGGATGGTAGCTCTTAAATTATTTTTTTAGTTGGCTATGTTAGGAGGAAATAAGACTTCATCTTATCAGAAATTACATTCTGATATGGGTCAGGAAAAAATATGTTTTTAAAGTGTTATTAGTATAATAATTTTATATCAGAATAGTCTTTCTTTGGAATATAGAATGATATAACTTATCTACTTTTTCCCCCTCTACTTGTTTTTAATTGTTATTTTATTAGGCTATTCATTCAATTGATTGGCATCATGAGGGCAAACAGTTCATGTGCAGCCATTCAGATGGTAGTTTGACTTTATGGAACCTGAAAAGCCCAAGTCGCCCTTTCCAGACCACAATTCCACATGGTAAGATGTATGCTTTCAAAAGAAATAAACACTGACTACTCAGTGCCTTGACTTGAAGTAAGATAGATGGTATTCATGTGTTTGGTAGAAAAAGGTAATAGGACATAGCTTCTGGTTCTAAATACCCCTTTTATGCCACCTACAGATCCCTACATTGTACCCCAAACTTTCCATACTTCCCTTCTTCCTGCCAACCCACATCCCTGCTTTGTAAGCTGTACTTATATAGTGTCCCAGCCAAAAGTCGGATAATGGATGGTTGATATATCTGAGGCAGAGGAGATAATACAGGAAATTTTGTTGCTTTTAAGGGTTGAGGAGCCAGTGAGAGAATTGCACTATTTAGATCTGATTTTCAGACTTAATTCCTATACTGCTTTATAGTCTATTGCTTTCTAGATTCTCTACTTGTTTCCATTTCTGCCATTTGATTCCACTAAGTTATGAAGACTGTGGTTTTAATTTTAGGTTTTACTTTTCTTTTTGGGTTCCACATTGAAAAGAGCATTTTAATCCTAAGTGAGGATTTTAATCTTAATCAAGAATTTATATTGGAGCTGTATACCTACCGGGGAAGAATAAAAAATTCAAATATATAAATATGTATAATTCAGATGACTAAATTATTTGATGATATTGGTGATTATCTGAGTTCTGTGTTTACCTCATACCGTTGATTATTTGTAATAATAGATATGTCAGAACCTAACAGTTGATCAAACATATTCTATTTTACAGTTTCTGAGCATTTGTTATCATGTCACATTTGGAAAATAGTGGTATGTTTTCTGTAATGGGTGACCCATAGATCACAAGCATTCTTAGAATTATTTCGTGATGTGTCTCTGCTATTTTTTTGTACCATGATCACTTGCTCCATCAGTAAATGATTAAATTATTGCAACATTCTTCCAGGATGTAAATGTTTTAGCCTTTAGCTGGTTTACTTAGAGATTACTTTACATTTCAATGCTTACTTAGAGATGCTTTATTTAGAGATTGCCATTACAGAAAACTTGGATAGATATTAGCCATACATACCAATCAGGATTAACTATTTATTTATACGAGAGGCAACAGATTCTCTCCACACACCCCTAGTTAACCCCCAATTCTCATGCCTTTTATTTGTATAAGTGTAATATGAGTTAGTTATAAATTTTCTACTTACTTCCTTATGTTCTTCTCAAATATCAGTTTCTATTAGTTCTTTTGGCTAGACTGGACATTTGATACTTTCATTTTTTTACCATATCCATATTTATTTCATGAGTTTTGATTGTTTTCTATTATTCTGGTTTTCTGTTGAAATAAAGTTCTATTTACAGGTTGTTCAACACATCAGCCTTGATGTCTTTTATAATATGTAAATCAGATTATGTTCCTGTTGCCTCACAATAACATAAGCACCAGTGATTTTGATAATAGAGGCATTTATTGTCATATCTGTTCACATTCTTTGGGTTTATATTTTTTCCTTTTGTTTTAGCCATTTTTCTAAAATAAAACTTTTCTCTAAGTACCATTTTAGATATATCCTACAAGTTTTTAAATGTAATATTAATCATATATAATTTTCATTAATATTTAGTTTGAGATATTTTCTATAATTCCTATTATAATTCTCCTTTGACCCCCATTAGTTATTTAGACATGTGCTTTCTAATTTCTAAACATTTTCATATTTATTATTTGTGTTATTATTATTAATAAAAGATGGGTCTTGCTATGTTGCCTAGGCTGATCCTAAGCTTTTGGAGGCCTCAAGTGATCCTCCCTCTGTGACCTCACAAAGTGCTAGAATTACAGGCGTAAGCAACCACACCCAGCCTTAATTTCTTAGCATGTTTTTTTATGATGGATTTTGAAATTGTAGCCAGAGAATATGACATAACTAGTTCTACAAAATTTACTGAGATTTGCTTTATAATCAGTGCAGAGCCAATTACCATAGCATTCTAAGTGTGCTTGGGAAGAATGTACATTTTCTAATTGTTACATAAAGGTCAAACTTGAAATTGTGTTTTTCATTTTGTATGGTTTAAATCTTTGCTAATTTTTTGTTTTGATATTTCAATTCTTAGAGAAGCGAGTTAACATTTCTCTTATAATGAATTTTCCTTAGTAATTCTGTTCATTTCTGTTTTACTTTAAAAAACAAATAGGTTAAGGTAGTTGATGGTGTTTTTCAGATTCCCTGTAATTGAACTGATACTTGTCTAGTGCTATCAATTGCTGAGAGAATGGTATTAAATTTCCTAATATGATTATAGAAGTGCATGCTTCTCAGTTTAATTCTGCCCATTTTTGCTTTATGTATTTTGAGGATCTATTATTAGGCATCCATTACATATCCTATAAAGAGCATAGCCCACCTTTTGTATACACAGGTTCTTCACCCATAGATTCAACAAAACCAAAGATCAAAAGTATTCTGAGAAGAAACAATTAAAAATAGAAAAATTTAAAATAAAAGAAATAAAAAGAAACAATACAGTGTTAAAACTACTTGTGTAGTGTCACACTGTATTGCGTATAAGTAATCTAGATATGATTTAAAGTATACAGGAGGATGTATGTAGGTTATATGCAAATATTATGCCATGTTATATAACAGACTTAAGCATCTGTGGATTTGGGTATAGGAGGGGGAGTCCTGGAATCAGTAGATACTGGGAATAACCATAGTTGAGTCTTGTGCTTTTATCTAGTCACAGAGTTCAGTCTATTAATATTAAATGTAATTACTGATGAGATTGAATTTTAGCCTACCACTTCATTATCTGTTTGGTGGGTCCTGTCATATTTTTCCCTCTTTTCTCTTTTTGCCTTCTTGGGGGTTATTTCAATTTAATTTAATTGAAATTTTAATTTAAATATTATAATTTCATTTCTATTATAATTTCATTTTAATTTAAATATTAATCTAAGCACTTTATTTTCACATATTTTTTATTGGTTGCTCCAGGGATTACAATATACTTCCTTAACTATTCAAAGCCTATTAGAGCGAACATTGTGACACTTCACATAAAATGTGCAAGTCTTGTAACCATATAGATCTATTTCTCTTCCCCTACTGTCCTTTATGCTACAGTTATCATATAGTACATCCAAATATATTGTTATAATTTTTGGTTTAAATAGTCACATGTCTTTTTTTTAATTAAGAGGAAAAATAGTCTTTTGAATTTTCTTTGCTATTTGTAATTTGCATTTGTTCCTGAAGATACAAGAACATTATTTAATTTCTCTTTTTTTAAAATTTTTTTATTTTATTATTATTATTATTATATTTTAAGTTCTAGGGTACATGTGCATAACGTGCAGGTTTGTTACATATGTATACTTGTGCCATGTTGGTGTGCTGCACCCATCAACTCGTCAGCACCCATCAACTCGTTTTAGGCCTAGTGGAAATGAATTCATGTAGCTTCCTTTATCTGGAAGTTCATTTTTGTTTTGTTTTGCCTTTTTTTTTTCTTTTTTGGAGGCCATTTTTTTGGATTTAGATTCCTGAACTGAGAGTTTGTGTGAGCATGTGTGTTTTGGTTTTAAGGTGATGAACACTTTATATGATCTTCTGCCTTCCATAATTTCTGAATGAGGAATCTGTAGTAGCTTGAATTTTGCTTCCTCTTTATATAATGTGTCTCTTTTCTCCAATTGCTTTCAAAATTTTGCGGGGTATCTTTTATTTTCAGCAATTTGACTACTTTCTGTCTAGGCTTGGTTTCTTCAAGTTCATTCTGTTAAGAGTTCTACCAAGTTTCTCATATATATTATATGTGTGTGTGTATATATATGATATATAATATGCTGGGTCATCAGCTGTTTTACTCAAGATTAGCACTGTTGATGGCATTGTTCTTATAGCTGATTGCTGCTGTTACTGCAGACATCGATTTTTCCTGTTCAGTGATTTCAAATATGTATTTATGGTTTCAAATGTGTATTTTTCAGTTGCAGTGCTACCAGTTACACATGCATACATACACACATACATATACAACACATATCTACATATATGATATTAAACCAAATCCTATCAAATACTTAAATAGCGAAAATTTTGCTCAGAAGCAGGACAGGGGTGTCCACAATTACCACTTTTATTTAATATTTTCCTGGAAATGCCAGCCAATATTATTAGACTTGAAAATGAAATATAATATTTAAAAGTTTAGAAAGAGTATTCAAAATTTTAGTTACTTTTTCATAATGCAATTAGACAACACAAAACAAAAATGAATTAGGAAAACTATTACATGCAACAGTGGAATTCTGTACACAAAACAAACAAAATATAATGGGTGAATAGAACCATTTTAGATCACAGCACCCACAAGAATACATGGGAATAAGCCTTAACATACATGTGAAGTATTATTTCTATACGGAACATACAACAGAAAACTTGAATAAATTAAAAACATACCATATGTATGCATAGTAAATTCAATATTATGAAGACGTTGATTTGCCACATATTACTTTGTAAATTCAGTTTGTCCCCAAGAAAAATAATTACAGGGTTTTCCCTGACAAAAACGAGCAACGGGGAATGGATTCCCTATTTAATAAATGGTGCTGGAAAAACTGGCTAGCGATATGTAGAAAACTGAACAGGACCCCTTCCTTATACCTTATATAAAAATCAACTCAAGGTGGATTAAAGACTTAAACGTAAGACCTAAAACCATAAAAACCCTAGAAGAAAACCTAGGCACTACCATTTAGGACATAGGCATAGGCAAAGACTTCATGACTAAAACAACAAAAGCAATGGCAACAAAAGCCAAAATTGACAAATGGGATCTAATTAAACTAAAGAGCTTCTGCACAGCAAAAGAAACT